TCATAGGTGTGTGGGTTAATATCAGGGTTTTCAACTCTATCCCATTGGTCATTCTACACCAGTAGAATTTGCAGAAGGTGGTGGAGAGAAGATTATGCTCAATACTTTCAAACTGGAGTCTTAGCATTCTGCAATAGATTGAAGAATATGCCAATAAATAAGCAAAGGCAGATAAGTAACCCTCATGTCAAACTCGAAAGAAGCTTTCTCTTATGACAGCAGGGTAAAAATATGCTGGAACTATCCCGAATATTGCTGATGAGAACAAAGGGGCTAACTATGGGAAAGCATATTTCTAGAGATAGAGATATACTTACTGCCCATAGCATTGGAAATTTGGAGTAGGTAGTAAAGATGACCAAAATGGAAGAGAATGAATAAGAGATGACAAATATGCACACCAGGGTGAGGATAGTTTGGGCAGCTCTGTCCTCAGGTGAAACTTTTAGACAGTGTTGAGCACTATGGATATGCTTGACTTGTCTCTTGTGTCTGTAGAGGATTGTCACCATGGAGACACTTGAGCAGGCCATGAGACCCAGACACAGACCATCCGTGAAGCACAGTAAGAACATATACAATGCCGTTACCACATTACCAGAAGCAAACCATGAACAGTATCCATAACTCATCCTACTAGTTGCATTTTTATTGTAAATGGGGCCTGACACTCTTGCTGGAGTCGAGATGTTTAGAAGGAGGCTCACAAGCCAGCTGAGTAAGCAGGAGGGACCAATGAACTTGTTGGCTCTGAGATTAAGCTTCATCCACCTGGAGTTACTGGGGCTGATTGTGATAGCTTGGAAGCAACTTAGTAGGCACATGGCATACAGGGACACCCCCCTTGATAGTCGGTAAATGTACATTATCAATTTACATCCAGTGTCATCTAGGAAATACTTAAATCCAAAATCTGACATTGTCTGTGGAATTCCTCTTGAAATGATAGACAAACAGTTGGCAAAAGTCAAGTGCTCTATGATCAGGTCTTTTTTCATTAAATGTTTTCCAGTGACTATCAAAATTATATGATAAAATAATATTAAGGAATTTCCAAGCATGCCCACGGCAATCTCGGAGAAGAGGAAAATTCCCACCGCCAAGTTGTCAGAAGCCATTTTCATTCCTACTAAAAATGTAAATAGATTTATTGCGGTCAATAGAACCTGGAAATATATTATGGTTGTGCATTATTTCATGATGTTAGCTAAAATAATGTATTTATCACTTTATTACATAGCTCCCTCATTGAAGAAGAGCATCTAAAACTTTGTTCTTTATTGAAGTATATATTCTGCATTATTTAAAGGGAAAAGTTTGGATATGTTTACTGTAGATTAATGTTTCCACTTGATGAGATACTACATGACCTTCAAAGTGAAACTAAGCGATAGAAGCAGCCAGCCATATGAATTTGAGACTCACCTGATCTACAGAGTTAGTTCCAAGACAGTCATGGCTACACAAGGCAAAAGTCTGTGTCAAAAAGCCCTCCCCCAAAGATTAATGTCTCCATTGCTTTAATTAAACACAGTGATTTATCATCAATTTTCAAAGAATTTTTAAAACATGCCATTATTGGCCAGGTGGTGGTGGCACATGCCTTTAATCTCAGTACTTGGGAGGCAGAGGCAGGTAGATCTCTGTGAGTTCAAGGCCAGCCTGGTCTACAAAGATACATAGAGAAACCCTGCCTCGAAAAACCAAAAACCAAAAAAAAAAACCCACAAAACAAACAAACAAAAATCCAATAAAACAAGAAACAACAAAAATTTTAAAATGCCATTATTTCTGAGTTTCACAAGAACAAAACTCAAAATTCATCAAGAAAAACAGCAGAAATGTACAAAAATCATATTTAGAATGAGTGGTTAAATATGAGAATATTTTATTTTTAGATCTATTTTATTTTTAATTATGTGTGTGCTGCATGTATGTGGGGGGGGCAAGCAGGGCCCAGAAGTATGAGCTCTCCTAGAGCTAAATTTGTGGATGGTTGTGAGCCACTTGCAGGAGCTAGTAACTGGACTCAGATTCAAAGTAAGAGCAGTGTGCACTCTGGAACACTGTCTTATCTCTCTACTCTTAAAAGAGTATTTAATTTTGGGAAAAAAGGAAAATATGAAACAATTGTGATGTGGGTTATAGACTTGTATAAATTCCTTATAAACAGTTCAGAAAACTCCAAAATGTGTGTAAAAACAGGCTCAACATCACCAATAATTGAGCCATCATCACTTACAGTATAAAGAGGTAATAATCAGAGCAAATTCACATAAAAAGCAGGAGTTAAAGCTTCTGAGCATATGTGAAATAAGAACCCATGTGTCTACTTTATAGAAAAGTAGAATGTTGTAGAAGCTCTACAAATTGGTATTGTTTCTTTTGAACAATATTTGAAAATCGTTAGCAAGTTCCAATTGGAGTGTTATTGCATATCCCACATATTGGGTCGTGCTTATTTCTTGATGTTTCAATGTCTATGTTGTCATGTTGTGCATGGAATCATTTGAGGACAACAGTCTTGTTTGTTTCCCTGCAGCTTTCCTTGAATAACATGGCATAAATGTACATTACCCTATGTTTTCTGCCAAAGCTGCCTGGGCCCTACTGCCACATGGGTGGTCTCCGCCAGCCGCACGAGTTCTGCCCGCTGCATGGATGGAATATCCACACAGCAGGGACCAGGTCTAACTCTTCACATGAGAAGAGCACTGTACCAGTCTGTTCTTGCAGATTACAGGTGAGCTGGAACCATACAACAACCAATTTTGGAGTATATTTACGGAAACATAGAAATAGAATCAGGAAAACATCTGCCATATTTTAGAATAGATGAAGTACCAAGAAATAAATCATATTTCTAGTATGGATTTATTCCTCACTTATAATTCATTCCATTTTAACTCTTAATCCTCAAGCGGCATATAATTCAACTTTCCTAGTAGAATAATCACCCTAACATTGTACCAATAATAAAAATCTTAATTACTAGTATCAATATTCTATCACACCCATTTCAATAATATAGCTATTCAGACACAAAAATAAATATTGCCTTTTCCAGAAACACATAAATTGATGAGTAGCTGCTATTGATCTTTTCAAAGAACAAGCTTTTCTTTTCCATTGATCATCTCAACTTGTTTTATTATATTATTACTTTATTTCATTAATGTCTATTTTTATCTTTGCTAATCTTTCTTCCTCTCATTTCCTTGGCTATTATTCTTTTATTGGCTTTCATGTATTGAAGTTTTATTTTGATTTCTCTTCTCTACATCTGAGTTACACAGAAGTTTCTCAGCAACAGTGTCTGGCTTCTGACACACCAATGTATCTAATTACATATTTTATTAAAAAGCTCATAAAGATACCATCCCAAGCCAAATAAAATAAAAATAAATAAATTTATGAGTAGGAGGGATGAAAAGAATAGAAGCAATTCAAGTGAACAAGATGAAATGGGGAAATAGCTCATGACTTGTCCAGTTGGTACAGCTCCCTGGGTGTGATTCTCCAGTATCATCAGTAAACAAGAAGAATCCAAATATATCTTCTTTTTAAAAACTTAATAATAGGAAGAGACATACAGAAAGAGAGAGAGGGGCTGGGGGACATGAAGACAGAGAGGAGATATAGAGAAAGAGAAAGAGACTGACCAAGTGAAGCTAGGAAGATGAAAATGAGTTGATATCACTAAGAGATATTTTACTCAGATATTTCTACTTATATAAGTACCAGCTTATGGGAGGAATGGTGTTCACACACCTTAGGGAGGACTGGAGACAGATGACACTGTCCTGAGTTGGAAATAGCCCTGATTTCATCCAAAAACCCACTCACATTCCCTGTTTCTAAACCAATACCAGAGTTTTCCGTACCCCGCCTATTCATTCTTTCTTTTTCTTCCTTCCTTTCTTCCTTCCTTCCTTCCTCCCCTCCTTCTCTCATTCCTTTCAGCAGAGCTGCTGAAAGAAATCTTTAATATAGATTTTTTAATATAACTATGATTAAGAGAGGCATTTAGGAAGAAAATAAGGATGTAACAAATAACACAAGCATGTCTTCTACAAGTCCTTTCTAATGTCTTTAGTTCTTGCTACTCCTATCCTCTGGTCACTCACCTTAGTCCTCAATGACACCGTGGTGGTGGGTGTTGCCAGGAGAAGTGAGAATCTGCTATAGCTGTGTTGGGACACTTGCCCAGATTTAAAGATTCATGATCTCTTGGTATTGTTTCCCAGAAGATTGGTGAATTTCACCTCAGTTCTATACCCATGATGACAGCATCTCCACAAGGATCTGAAGTAACTTTTAAACAACCTGGTCCCAAGCTCCTCTCACAAAAGCAAAACAAAAAGAGCAACTCCAAGAGCACAATTAGGATTTAGAAGGGAAACTTTTCTGTCAGTCCTTTGAGCAGAGAGGCATGCAGAAGGAAGAGAGCTCCGTCACTATTAAAGTATAGGTTAGTTGCATGGCATTGTCTCTGGAGGGACTTTTCCTATCACCCTGCAACCTAAATAGAATCAACTTCTCAAAACTGTTAGGTCCCAAAGACACACAAGAAAAATGCCTACCTGAGGAGCCTATGGAGGCATCAGAGCAGAAACATTCAAGAGATGAGACAATATTTCAGTAGCTAAAAGTGCTTGATGTAGAAACCTGATGAGCTGGGTTTATATCTAAAGAACAGAGTTAGAACACAGATCCAAGGGTTGAGTGATGGCTCAGTGGTTAAGAGCACTTGCCACTTTTGCAGATGACCAAGGTTCAGTTCCCAGCTCATATATGACAGCTCACAAGAGCCTGTAATTCCAGATCCAGGGGATCTGATGTCCCCACAGAAATGCAATGGCTTCTTCATATATATATATATATATATATATATATATATATATATATATATATATATCTATACATAATATATATTTTTA